TATATTTGTAACTTCCAAACAAGAAAAATGATTTCTCCACCCTTTCTTTCCTGTCATACGACTATTCTTCAAAGTCTTCCCCCTTTTACCTCAAAATGGCAAACATACCCTAAAAGCAAAATGGTCAATAATTTAGGAATGATTGGAAAATAGAAAGAAAATTGCTCTAAACAAGAGTAAATATGTTTTTGGAATTCGAAATAGGACTGATATATTTTTCTTGCTAAATGAGTCTATATTGCCATAATTGAACAATATTGTCATTAATAATGTATTCATGCTAATGCCTAGTATTACAATTATTTGATCGTAATGACTCATAGATTGTTAAATGTCCCGCACCGGAAAAGTTTGGATGAACAAAGTGTCATATTAACACATGGGTTACTCCTCCTATCAGGTTGACCTTTTAAGATGGAACCACGTGTCTTAATATGATATCAGAGCCAAATCGATCCATGGTGTGGGGCCCCTTATGAAAAATGATGATGTGATTATAAAACAGCCGGATGAAAAAAAACAGACCGATGAAAAAAATGAATGATGACACGATCTAGACAAAGTGTCTGGTCATGAGGAGGAGTATTAAATGTCCCGCACCGGAAAAGTTTAGATGAACAAAGTGTCATATTAACACATAGATTACTCCTCCTATCAGGTTGACCTTTTAGGATGAAATCCCGTGTCTTAACATAAATGATAGTAAATATTGTTATGTTACTTCTATTTCAAAAAAATACATAGCAATCATATTTGGGAATTTCAAAATTGATTACTCGTATTTCATGAAATTGTCCTAAAAAGAAAACTAAATAATTTTTTAAAAAAGGGGCGGCGAGATAAATGTGAGTGAGACGATTTAAAGTAGAATTTGCGACAGTAATGTGATCTAATGGTGATTCTCTAAATTACTTGTATCTTCCGCATTAGTTTTTGTTGTATTGGCCTTTCGTTCTGCATCTCTGTCTCTTGCTTTTCAGAAGGGCGTGCGCTTGAATCCTTTTCATGCTTCTGTAGAACCACATGTGGAAAGCTATGTTGCACGGATACGGATACGCCGATACGCGGATACGCGGATACGGGTACGGCGATACAACACTTTCAAAAATTATAGGATACGGGTACGGGGGTATATTTATAAATAATAAAAGTATAGGGTATAATTTGCAAATATATATAATTCAGGGGTTCATAAATAAAATAATAATAATAGTACAAAAAATTAACTATTATAATAAAGTTTCAAAGATTAGTCTAAAAAACTAAAGTATTGATATTTTGATTTAAATTCAAATAATTTTTTTTGTTCTCTATTTGCATTTACATCCAAGTCTTGTTTCAATTAAATATCATCAAGCAATGAAATGTCAAATTATAGTATTCCATTATTTTTCATACTCCCGAAACCATCTTTATCAATGTTCCACATGTTGTGGTCGCATGGTTGGCTACTAAATTTTCGTCATGTCATGTATAAAATGAGGGGTTATAGGTTCAGATACGCGTATCGGTTCACAGATACGGGTATCGGAAGTATCGGTATTTTTAAAATTAAGCCCGATACTTTTATTAAATTACGGATACGGACCCAATACGTACAGGACGGGTATCGGTGAGTATCGGATACGGATACGTATCGGATACGCGGATACGGCATCGAAGTGAAGTATCGGTGCAACATAGGTGGAAAGTCCTCAACAAGACAAAAAGTGGAGCAAATGAAAAAAGAAAAGAAGAAAAAACCCCACATAAATTTTAAAGTAGGCCTTTTTAGTTGAACTTGTTTTTACTCCCTCCGTCCCAAAATTATCTTCATAGTTACTATTCACATGGTCAACTCAAATTACTCTTAATCTTTTACTGTATATATCAAATTTTTATCAAACTTAAATTTTCTTGATCAGGCTTTGTAGCGATTTTAATGTAGTTTCTGAATATGTAAATTTTATTTATTACAAATAATCCGAGTGTGAACAGGGATCGAGTTGCTTTATCGTCAGTCAAGCATCGTAAACCGAACTATGAAGATAAATATGGGACGGAGGTAGTATTATTATAAGAGAAGATCTTCACTGTATCACAGCCAAGATCCCCTGGAATCATCATGCCTACTTCAACTTATAGCAACCGTTGCAGCCTACCACCATCAATTCATTTACTATACAATACAAATATGAGTGTGTATATAAAGTAGATTATAGTAATTGCTGCAACCTACCGCCATTTTGAATATACTACTAGCTCCGCATATTTCATAAAATACAATATAACAAGTATTTATAAACAGTACATTTCATGCACATGCGGGGTACAAATTTGCATATTGGGACGGAATATGAGGGGTCGAATCAGTGGCGGAACCAGAACGTTTTGTAAGAGGGTGCTGAAAAAGAATATGAAACCACCTAAAGAATTATACAACAATAAATTCATGTAGTAATTAGTTAATTTCATATATGAAACTTCGTAGCCTGAATTTATGTTTAGTCACTAGTACGAAGTATATATAAAAAGATAAATTATATGTCCTCTATCTTTCGTTACTGCTTAAGTTTTTTTCTCTAACATTCAAAGTAAAACTTTTAGATCATTTTTATTTTAGAAGTAATTAGCACTCTCAAATGATAAATTAATAATCAAATATTAAAATAATACACATATAACATCACATATATCATCATTGACCTCATTATTTTCATCATACACATCTCTCAAAATATATTGTAGTTACCTAATTTAATTATTATCTACATAAACTTGTCATTTCTGAACAAGAAGTTTAAGCCTAACTTAATCATATATTCTAATTCACATAGAGGAAGTTCTCGAAATAGGACTAAAACAGTTTGAAAATTCCAAAATGAGATTGTCATGCATGTTTTTATTTAAAAAATAGGAGTAATTACTGCCAAGTTTGGAAAATACTGCAATGTTTGAAGTCTGGTACTGCCAAAACATGGCAGTAATTAGTCCTATTTTGGGAATAAACACGTGACCGTTCTATTTTGGAATATTCAATTTTTTTTAATCCTATTTCAGGTAATGTTCTCATTCACATATAATAGATACAAATATGCCGTACACATCACTAATTTACTATGGAGTGCAATACTACTAATTCACTCAGTAGTCAACTATGCACAATTATAAAATTGTTGAATTACATAATAAAGTAAAAGAATAAAAAAAAATTAAAACTATAAAAGCAAAAGTAAAACTTCCAGTGATAAAATCGCACCAGCAACCACACAGGCGGTCGGTGTAATTTCAAAGGATTAACTTCCGCCTCTTCAGTTTTTCGGCTGAACAATTGAACAAATTTCCACTGACCGAGGAAGGAAATTTCCATTGTTTTGCTCCGTATTAGTATTAGTGAGTAATCATTATTTATACAATTCGATGTCGTTTACACTAGATATGATGTCGTTTCATTTTACTGTAGTTTGCTGTTTTACTTAAACGAACGACACCGTTTCACTTATTGAATATTTAGAACACAAATCAGGCTTCACAAGGAAGCAAATCTGGGCGCCGGCGATTTTCTGAAGATGAAGGTTTCAGAGAAAAGGGGCGCTGGCGAATAACCATATATATACAGCTTGACTCTTCCGGCCAAGGGGTGGCGCCAGCACCGGCTCGCACCCCCTGGTTCCGCCCCTGGGTCGAATGATAGTTTGACCATATATATTGAGGAGTTTTTGCAACTGTTGAAAATGAAGCAATTTTGCAAAGTTTTCAAAACGAGCAGAACACAATTATCATCATTTATTTCTTCTAATAGTTAGTTTGGCATATAGATTTAAACAAATTTGATAACACTTTCGGTAGAGAGGGTGGCATGTATTTATTTTTATTAACTTTATTAGTAACTTAGTAGTTTTGAGGTCACTCCTAAAAAAGATCAGTTGGTCCGTGACTCCGTGTTGATATACTTGTAGCCATATTTGATATATGGGTAAATGAACTCCTCCGATACCAACGATGAAAAGTTGAGAAGATGAAGATGCAATTGGAATCATATATACTTGATGCGGGTTATAAGAAGTGAATGTGGTTTTTGCCGTTCATTGTGTTGGAAGGGTTAATATCCTTTGAAGAAGTTCTTGAAACTTAATTAATTCAGGAATGGCTGCTGGATCTTCTATCTACTCGATCGGGCTTATTGCCAATGCAAGCAACTAGCGATGTCGGTGCACTCGGGCATGCGGCTAGTGGGAGAGAGGTGGCAAGCCACTATGTTCACCCCTAGTTTAAAAAAACATCCGAACATTATTAATTTATTATATAAAATTTCGTGAAAAAATTTACTCAAAAAGATCATTACTATCTCAGACTCTCAGTCCAGTTTACTCTGATTAGGCCATTGGATGCGCTGGTCACGCTCAAATATGTCTATCATACATGGGGTAATGTCTGTTATGTGTTGTTCAAATATCACTCTACGGCTCTACCATGTATTGCCACCCAATAACAAAATTATAGGTAAAAAGAAAAAACAAACAACGTTAGGTGTTGATGCCTTTGAATGACTATTTTTTTTTTTGCTTGCAATGGAGCAGTAAATTTGAGCCTTGGCTAATTAGCTATTTAGCTTGAGATATCTGTGAAGGAACTTGGCTTAAAAGGGTGCTAATTGCATTCAAGATCGGGAGAGTAATAAATTCTATCAAAACTCTTGGGAGACAACTAAGCTGCAAATGCAATTATTAAGAGCCCCCTACTCACCATGAACTCTGCTTCATCAGTTAGAAGATTACCAATGAGACAATCATACTCAATTATTTCCATCAAAACAACAAATTGCAGACCAAAGCCTTACTTCGATCTAACCCAAGTGAGCTAAGTGCAGACCTCAGCTTGGAGAACATAACTTGAGAGGGTGTAGAATATCAATCTCAGCAAGATTTTTTCTGAGATTTCAGTCCCTGCTTCATTACTATTTCCAACTTTTTTGAAATCTTTAATATTTGCTCGTGTCCATGTATGTTTAAAAAGGCCCAGTAGACTTGATTTAGAAGGAAACTAACCCTACGTATTGTGTATATAAACATATGTTTGTGTGAATATGAAAGAATAAGAAAAGAAAACTATTCATTTTCAGAAAACTTCAAAGGGCGTGATTGAAATGATGCAACCCACTATTATTAGCACATGTCGGCAAACACCACATACCTAAGAAATTTTCATCTACAGGAACATTGAACGCCAAAGGGTGCACACAGTGTGCTGAATCAAGTCAAATAACAACGAAACTCACTTTTGACACCACAAGCAGTAATCCTATTGAGAACAGGTGATTCCCTCTGGACTCGATTCTCTGGAATGAATGTGTTATATAGTTCAAATAATCATCAGTAGACCTCAACATGCCACTGCTTGTTCCTTTTGAGCTGTGAAAGCTTCGATTCCCAGGTCTCCCCTCTATCCTCTGCCACACGCTTCAATGTGTCCTGAATTCCAGGCATCATTCCCTTCAGCCCACAGAAATATATGTGTGCCCCTTCATCCAGCAGTTCGAAGATCTCATCACTGTATTCTTCAATTTTGTCCTGAACATACATCTTCCCCCCTCTCTTGTTATTCTGCTCTCGACTAAGAGCACGTTCGTACCTGAAATTGTCTGGATAATCCTGGAGATATTTCGTGAACTCTTTATCATACAGAAGACTATCATTGTTGGCCACCCCAAGGAAGAGCCAAGCAAGGCCATTGAACTTGAAAGTCGGGATGGATTCCATAAACATACGGCGAAGGTACCCTCTAAAGGGAGCCACGCCAGTACCAGTTGCAATCATGATGTGTGTCGCACTTGGGTTGTCTTCAGGGAGTAGCATTATTTTGCCAGAAGGACCTGTTAGAAATTTCAATACATATGGCTTCAGTGCATTTGTAATGTGATTATAGGTGCTCATATTTTGATAATAGATATGAGTATATTCATCCTCCTTATTGAAATAAGGCCACAAGTGTTGGGAATAGAGCAACTGGCTGCTACAAGAAAAGTTTTTTTTTTTCTGATGAGAATGAATGCAGGACTAAGTATTGATTCAATGACATTTCACTACTACAACAAATGAAAATATATAATTTGACAACGGCTTTATCAACTGAGTAATCAATCTCTTACCGGTGATTTGCACTTTGTCTCCAGGCTTTGAATCACACAGATAATTGCTGCAAACTCCCTTTTTCGAAGGATCTTCTTTTCCTGTCTCGGGATCATAATAGAGAGCACGTCTGACACACAAAGTAGCTGTTTTCCCATCAAAGGAGTCTCCATATCTGGTAGATGCAATTGAATATAGACGAACATTGTGAGAAGCACCTGGTTTCGTTGGGTTCTCGCCCTGGAATATCATCACAAATGAAGTAGAAATTATCTGATTGTGTTTATGTGCTATTAGTATATTACCCGACAACAACAACAACATTACCCCAGTGCCGCAAAGGCTCCCACCTACGCTGGGGTAAGGGGGGTCAGATGTACGCAATCTTACCCTTGTACTACAGCACAAAGAGACTGTTTCCGGATGACCCATGATAAAAATCGCGTCGAAAATTGCATGAACTAACTCCTTCATAGCAAAGAAGCGCAGTCAGTTTAGTAAGCCATTTCGCTTTATTCCATCATATCCCAAGCCAAAAAATAGTGAGTCTTTGGCTCCATTGGAAGTCATGGATTATTAGTATATTACCCATAGAATAAGTAAGGCTGCTCAATCAGCATTGGGGTCCAATGACATAAACAGCTTAGTTGAGCATTTCATGCTGCACATTTGTGTTCCATAAAAAGCTTGTGAATAAACAAACTATGCATTCAACTCTTGGGGACATTTGATTCTCAACATGTAAGATTACTTTCAGACTGGTAATCGATTGTAGGTCCACAGAATGTAAAATTACTACTAATGTTAAATTGTTAGCAAGAAAACTGGGACAGTCTTAATAATGTTTAAAAATGCTGGTTTGGGTATCGAGGCGGTTTGTTCCGGAGAGGCGAGGCGTAAGCCTCAAAGCGTATCGAGGCATAAGCCTCAAAATATACCAACTGACAAAACATATACTACCTCCGTAACATTTATATCTTCTCGATTAAAAATAGGTGAGATTAAGAATAGTGAGAGAGGATATAAATTATTGAGGGTATGATGGGAAGATAATGAAATTGTGTGCTGGAATGAAGGATAAATCCAAAAAAAGTAATTGTAATAGTGTATTCTTTTTAAAATTATTGAGGGTATGATAGGAAGATTTAGAAATGGGAAGATATGAATGTCACGACTGAAAAAGAAAAGTGGGAAAATATAAATGTTACGGAGGAAATAATAGTTAAACTAGTAATAAAAAACTGAAGAAATGGATAATTACAAGCACAAAAAGTATCAAACACAAACATGTATGAACACAAGCCATTTATTATCAAATGGCAAATCATCAACCAAAAGGTTTTCCTCATCATTGGTTAGGGATCTTAATTTAAGGTGTCCATCTTTCAGTTTCTTGTAAAACCTTGACCAGTTCTATGAAAAGATGACCAACAGCTTAGTACAAGAAGGAAGAGAAGAGGAGAAGTAGAAGATGAGAAGGAGTGGAGATGAAGAAGGAGAAGAGACGAGGAGAAGAAAAGTTACCTGGAAGAATGGACTCTTTGTAAGAAGTTGTCGACTTATTCGTGAAGGAGTATGAAAACTTCTTTTTGCAGAAGTATGCAACATTTTAATGATTAATGAATACTTTAAATGAAACAAGACTTGTTAGGGGTTTAGTGTGGACTATGGACACATGTTTAATGTATGGGCCTTTCATTAAATACTACTTAAAATAAATCAGGCCTTTCTTAAGTGACAACCCATTAAAGAGATAGAACAAAGGGATTCACGCCTCAGAAAACGACTCAAGGCGTACACCTCAACTTTTGAGTCGTCAGCCTCTTCACCTGCGGAAAAGCCTAAGCCCTGATACTTCCTCTGTACGGCTCACCTTGAGGCGCGCCTAAAACCCGCCCTGTAAGTGCCTTTTTAAACCATGTACCTAAATAACCCAAGGTAATCACCTTACCTCATTTTCAAGTGTGGATTCTCAAAGCCTAACCCAAGCACATGTAATCACACGTTACCTTTCACACTTTACTAAGGTGATGTCAGATTACTAAGGTAATATGGGAACACAAACCAAGCAGCTCCTGCAGGCTATTTCGTTGACAGGATGGAATTGCAAGGTAATTGAACTTAAATTCTACGGGTACAAATTTTAAAGGAACTGAACTGGTGTTTTAGTATTGGAACAAAAGCAGCAGTTGGAGTATAAAATATTGTCTTTATTTAACTATGCAAATAAATTGGAATAACTTCTGCGATGACCCAAATGCCCCTGTCCAAACTAAACTTAATTATTAGTTACAATATAAAAATTACATAATTGTTTTGCATTTAAAGTTAAAAGGGTTTGGATATTGTTATGTGAAATTATGAATGTGTGATCATCAAATCAATTAAGTTTGATCAACCTGGTTCTTGGTAAGTATTTCTTGTGTCATCAAAATAACCGTAAACTTCTTATTTCTTATATATCATGCTCTTTTACACGACACTTGCACATAATGAAATGTTGTACATGCGGTCTTTGTTTGTACAAGCTTCCCCCAAGACAAGCTACAATCATGGTTGAAAGTTAGAATAGAAATATAGCTAGCATTTGTAAGGATATATGTGTGTTGTGTAACTACTAAGTCAGTATTGCTAGGGGATAAAATACCAGTACACTCGTATAAGCATTCCCAAGTTATGAAAAATTGCAATTGTTCTTGACCTAGCTAATAGCTACTCCTATAGTCTATAGTAGAGGAGGAGAAACGGCTATGCGTTGACACACACATTATACAAATCATGCGGTCATCAATAAACTTTAGCCTAAGAATCAATACATTGGAAACTTTGTAGGTTAAAGTGTAAAAGAAACCACACGAGATTAGAAGCATGTCTTACAGGAGGAATAACACCATAGCTTTGTCCTTCCCAGTAAGGAAGATCGCCACCATGATCAATAACAACATGGCAAGTCTCCCCGGGAGCTTTTGGCCCTACAAGTCTCTCAACAGAAACAATTGTTGCTGTGTATGGCTCCTTCGGTTTGTACAGATTCAATGGAGGTTCTTTGGCATCTTCTAGGGACAAAGGTGCAACAGGCACTTTGTAATGGGTAGCTTGTTGCACAGACATGCAAACAACAAAGTGTCTCCTGGATTTTCCATTTGATGTTTTCAAGTCAAAATGTTGGAAACCGGACATTGATTTATTACTGAAACCTATGGTGTTAACCTGGGAAGAAAAAAACACCATTATACTCTACTGTTTCTGTGGAAACTCGTCAAAAAAGAAAATTTGCATATAGGTTGTTGAAGAGCTGAGTAGAAGATATTGTTCATTGAATCATAAAATGATAAATCAGTTAAAATCAAGACTATTCTTTTTCACTTTCAAGGTCAGAGCTTTATTTTCTATGACTTCTTGAATTACAGATTACACATCACAATGCTGAACAGCTTTGTATGTGCTTTGGATATTCACTACTTTATCTGTCGGGAACGACAACTTTATACAGCTAATGCATGCCTGAAATTTATTGGCTCATTAAAGCACCCATTATTAAGATATCTATGATTCCACTCTAATCCCCCACAGATAATTCAGAGTCAAATGAAGAAAACCCACATTTTGGAATTGGAAATGCAACAAAATTGATAAATACCAGTGGTTACGGAAAATTAAAATTACACTTTTAATAAAAGATTCTGGTTTCTTGCAGGGGAATTAATGAGCATGAACAATAGTGGGTTTAAGAACCTTAAACTTGGTTCTACGTATGGACGAATCTCCATTGAGAGAAAGCGCAACTCGAACCTGCAAGGATAAACCCGATTAAGTAAGCAAAAAAACTAGAACTAAACGGGTGAACAAAAAATCTTACAATTACTTGAAAGACGACAGAATTAGCCATGACCAGTCCGTGAGTCGGATGATCAGAATTACTCTCTCGTGTGTGGTCAGACAGATAGAAATGAGAAATACTAGAGTCTATCCAGGGTGGAGACTGCGAGGGGCTGGCTGTGGCCACGGCCCCTCCAAGAAAATAAAAACTTAAGTACGATAGTATATATTATGTATAAATACTTTTAATATGTAGAAAGTATGTTGATATTTTAAAAGTTGGCCCCTGCAATGTAAAATTGTTAAGGACCGACCCCTTTAACCCTAAATGTTTGGCTCCGCCACTGAGTCTATGATTGGCAGGCGTATGGCTCACCAAATTTTCCTTAAAAAAAATGGAGACGAACATATTGGTTTGGTTTAATCGAAATAAATCATAAAGATATTACCCAAAATGAGACTAAAAAAGTTTGGAAATTCCAAAATATGACTTTCATGTTTTTATTCCCAAAATAGGACTAATTACTATCATGTTTTGGCAATACCAGACTTCAAACATGGCAGTATTTTCCAACTTTGGCAGTAATTAGTCCTATTTTGGGAATAAAAACATGACAGTCCTATTTTGGAATTTTCAAACTTTTTTAGTCCCATTTCGGGAACATTCCCTAAATCATAGTCCCTATTAAATCGAACTAAAGGTCTGTTTGCAACAGTTTCTGATTTAAAAAAAGTGTATTTTTTAATGAAATGGGAAGAAATGAATCAAGTGATTAAATAAAAGTCGATAGTGTTTAAGAAAAAAATGATTTTGAAAAGTAAAAGTTAGTAGTGTTTGGTAAAATAAATGTTTTTTGTTTAATAGAAAAAGTAAAAGCACTTTTGAAACGAAAGCCGAGAAAAATAAAAGTTGGTAGTGTTTGGTAAAATAAGTGTTTTTTAAGCTAAAAGCTGAGAAGTGCTTTTTTTAAAGCATTTGCAAACCAACCCTGAATCAAATCGAATTTTCATATTTTATTAAAAAAAATAACCAATTCAAAGTGAACTAGATTGAACTAAATCAAGCCTCTTGTATCCAAATAATAAGAGGTTTGTTATTAATAACCCAATCAATTCTGAGAAAAAAGTTTTTGTTTGGTAATAATTTTCTCAACCAATTCCAAATCGAAACGAATCGAAACCTATAAAAACCGAACAAAAAATGGATATGTCCACCCTAAGAAAAATGATGTTTGCACTCATCCCTTATACCCATCCTTATACGTGCCCCAGTGAGTGGCTAATTTTCATAGACAAAACACATGTCTATTTTGTTTGTGAATCAGATTCCCAGACACAAAATAGCCAAAACAGACATGTTTTGTCTATGAACATTAACCTCGCACAGGGGCGGGCATAAATGTGTGTATAGGAGTGAGTACAATTATTGAAAATATGCCCTAAAACAATCATAGTTTATGATTTATTAATGGATATTTAATGCTCATTAATTAATAAAGTCAAAAACTCATTTTATGTTAATTATTATTGTGAGTTTTCTTTATTAGTATTTATTCCTTGAATATTATGTTTAATAGCTAATTAAGTATGTGATTTAATTGTGGAATGTTACACTTTCTAATAAACATAATATTCTAATTGTCCTTGATCTAATATTATTAATTTGAGACATTAATAGTTAATAGACTAGTATGCGGATTAACTGATGATTATATTCAACTAGTCATAGATATAGAGATATCAAGTTAATAATATAAATGTTTGTTAGTGAATAAGTTCATTGGACAAACCCAACTTGAGGATACTACTAGGTTATACAGAGTATGTCATTAGTGGTGTCCTTAATAATGATGAGGTGTTATATTCTTATACTTGAGATAATCATGGTTACTTACATGATAATTAATATATATTAACACCATTAAATGTTATCTTTAAATTACTAATTATAAAGGTGGTGATTATAGATATTATGAACCATGCAGTGGTATGTGAATTATCAAGATAGTTTTTTTCACTCATATAGTGAGAAAAATATATCTATTGGGCTCATTGACAAATAAGATTAATCGGCATGTCATGCTCGAATGAAGTGTCATTTGTTCAAGGTTAATCTTACTTGATAATCAAGAAATATTAATTGAGAATAACAAGGATGACATGACATGACATAACTAGGGGTGGGAATAGGACAGACGGCCTGTCAAGGGCCTGTGGCCTGGCCTGCTTAAGGCCTGACCTATTTAATAATCAAAGTAGGCTTGGGCTTTTCGAAAAACCCGTTTACCTAAATAGGTTAGGCTTAGCCCAACTCTAAAGCCTGTTTAGCTTATCAGGCCGACCTATTTATATGTGTATATATATGTTTGTATATATGTTTAGTTATATTTATATTTAATTGTATTATTTATATTATATCAGTATAATTAACTATAGCAAATTAAGCATAATAGTATTTTTATGAAGTGTGTATTATATAAATACACACTTAATTACACACTTAATATTAGAATACTATTTCAATTATATAAAGTGTGTTAATGGGGTAATTGAAATTCAAAGTTTTTCAAGATTTGAAGTACATAAAATTTACAAGCTACATAATTAACTTATTATTAGACATTCAAAGCAAATCTAACGTATTATTAGACTTCTTAGTAAATATTTGGGGGGACAAGTTTTATATCGGGCTAAAATGATTTTTCACTTTTTAGTTTTTATTTTTTTGAACTTTTGATTTTTTTTTCTTAACTGGCCTACTAAACAGGCTTCAGGCCAGACCAGGCTTTTCAACAGGTCAGGCTCAGGCCGAACAAATAGGCCTGTAACAGGTAACAGGTCAGGCTCAGCCCTATTAATTCTAAAATAGGCCCGGCCTGTTTAGGCAAAATTCTGGTCTGGCCTGTTTCCACCCCTAAACATAACCTTGTCTCGATTAAGATACTGTTTAACAAAAGAGAATTATTAGCACAATTAATCATTAAAAGGTTATGTTAGATTTAATTGACATTTATATATCTTGGGTAGTCATTATGTCTTGCTAGAGAGCGTTCGTGACTTGACTTTACTCTCTCGTTTTAACTTTTTTTTTTTTAAAGAAAAACTAGCTCTCTGATTAGACACACTATAGATCACACAATAATGAGCGAGACTAATCGCTAACTATGTGAGAGCTTCGAAGCTTTTACCGGCCACACAAGCCTTATCGCTTCCACCTAAACCATCATCACAGAAACTAGTTCCAAAACTAAAACACCTTCCGTTATTGTTCACAATAATAACATAGTAAAAGTTCTTTAAGAACTTTAAATAAAAGCAATAAAAGTAGTGTGTCTTGTGATCCCCTTCGGTATTGGAATCCACGACGGAGGTTTAGGAGGAGGGCGGATCGCCCCTACTGTCTCTTCTAACTTCAGCCGCATCCCATCTTCATCATAGCCGCAATCCAGTTCGAAACCAACGTACGATCCCTTTTCACTTTTTTTCAACGTTGTTAACTATACCCACCAGATATAAATTTGCACTGGAAGAAGTCGGCGCCATAGATCCCACTACCTGTGACACCGCTCCCGAACGTCCTTGAAAATTTGATTTAAAATTCAAAGTTTATGTATTGGATTTCTGATTCCCAAACATTTGTAAAACGATTAATGTTTTACGTAATTAATGATCGATTAGTGTACTGTTCGAACTCGTATATTAGAGTCGGGCATGCAAATACTATTTGGGTCTTATTAATAAATAAAAGAGCCCAGCATTATCCAAATAGTGATACATAATCTTTCAAGACAATCCGAGTAAGGTCGGACGGCCCAACGTTATTTTGAGCCCAACCTGCTAAAATAGCAAGTATTCGAGAATGGCGTTCTAGACCCACTCGGGAGTGACCCACACGGCTAGTAGCCCAATAATATGTATGACAAATGTCAAATAAGTGATAGAATGATTAAAGAAGAATACAAATGCCTATAGTCCCATCTTTAACATTATTGAGCTAAATAATGGGAGTAGGATTTTTCTTCTATAATATCCATTAAGTAAATTATTGTGATAAACCTACACATATTGGAAATCAATAATGTGATGAAGGAAGTTGACTTGTTCTAAATGAATTAGGATGAGTACAAAAAGACATCTTTGACAAAGATAAAACAATAGGACCCATCTTCCCATTTTTGGAAGTATTGGTAGATAATTTGGATCCCAAAATGATTGGGATCAATTGGGGACCATTCCACATGGACTTAGTACCTGCAAAACAAGTGAAAAGAGGTGAGAAGACCATATGGGGCGGACTCTTGGCTCACATGCACAAAAACTCCAAGAGGAAACAAAAGGGGGAGGTCCACCCCATATTTGATTGCAAACCAAATATCTCCCATGTTCTTTTGTGAGCCACATACTCCTTTAGCATGTTTAGGGGCTGCTAATACACTCCACATACACCCCATTCGAACCCCCAAAGAGATAAGAGAGCAAGGGAATCCACACAACCCAAGAGAGAAGGAAGGAGGAGAGCAGTCCGCAGGTTCGTTCTTCAGTGCGTAGCTCTGATTGTTTGAGCCATAACTTGAGATTTACTCATCCAAATAAGGCGTGCGAGATACCAACAGAAAGCTCTCAAGACGAGGAATCCGTGAAGGTCTGGTTTGCATCAATCGGAGTAGTGGAAGGCTTCCAAATCGACCGAGCAAAACACGACCTCGCAGAATACGTTTTTGTATTCAAAGTAAGTTTGAATCCAAAACCTTCCTCTCTATTGTCTAAACCATATAAATGATTGAAGAACTATTATACACTGATTGAGGTGTATAAAATGTTATTATAAAGTGACTTTAATTGTTGGAAAAGTTAGATGCTAATCTAGACAAAACCTTGAAGGGTTAGGGAACGATTTCGTCGGGAAACACCCGTTCTAGGGACTGTTTTTGTGTCCTCGGTTAGGAGTTGAACTAGCACTTTGAAGGGGTTGTTTAACACTCAATTCCAAGCAAGGAATCAGTTCTCAATCTTCCTTGGCCAAAGCTTTGACCATTGGATCAAGAAAGAAAGGTTTAAAGCTCATTTGAGGTGAGGACCGACATCTAGTTGCTTACAACTTGTAGGTTATGCATGAGATTACCTAAATGCTTAAATCATGTTTTTGTGAATAAATATGCTTGAACATGATATGAATGATAAGTAATGGACTTGATCATAAATTGAAACCATATTGATGAATATGGAGTCATGTGAGATAAAAGTATGCTAAAATGGTAAATTGACCTTCCAACTCATGTATGAATGTTATGTGTATGTAAATGTATGATTGCA